TTATTATTATTATTATTATTATTATTATTATTATAATAATAACCTGACTTCTATCATTTTTCTCGTGTGTATTAGCCCATGAATCTGACGTCATTGAGGACATTCAAATTTTATTTTTTTTAAAAAAAGATTATATTAGGGCCAGAAGCATTACGTATAGTTTCCTCCGTTTTAAAAGTCCGCTATCAATTTCTACAAGTCCATTTATGTTTGGGAAACTTACATAAATAAACTATCCTAAAAAAAATATTTATCATTTATAACAATAACATTTTTTTCACTTGGTCACTTTTAATTCATTTACAGTACAAGTTGAATAAATATTACAAAGAACAATTTATTATTCAAATATAAAATATAAGTTTTAATGATGTATAATACATTTATCACACATTTTAATACACTTATAATACAATGTGTCAATTTTTTACCAAACAAACATAATAATTTTCAAAAAACAATTATAATACATATATATTGCATACATAATTCACCTTTAATACATAGTACAGATTTAACATAATATTATTTTAAATAGTAATAAATAAAAATTATTGCTAAAATCAATAATTATTTATTAAAATGTATCAATTCATCTAATTTTTCCTTTGAGTTTTATGAGTTATAAGATTTTATATGTACCAGTATATATATTTGCCATAAATCCAAATTGGTCATGCACATGTTTTCTCCAGTTACAAGTTCCATAATATGTAGAAAATTTGCATGACATGCCTACTAATTGCAAAATATACATAATTAATTAAAAAAAACGTATTGAAAACATTTTTAAATTTGATAATATTATTCGCTTTTCCTTGTTCCAAAACATTTCATTATATTTATGCCTACTAGTTAGTACATGTTAGAATGTATGCCTTCACTTAAGCAGTATTGGACCACGTCCCTTACTACACTAATAAATTAATATCTTAATAATTCTGTAACGATTTAGCATATTACAAATTGATCAATAAGTTAAACCGATAAATTTCAAAATTATAACGATTTAGCGTATTATAAATTAATAACCGATAAGTTGATTTGATGAATCGATCAATACGTAATCCTAATTATAATAGTGACAAATAGAAATGGTAGAAAATAGCTGGTCATTTGATTCTCCCACAAACACACCATTTGTTGGAATTTTGAAAGCATTGTGTTATCTCAATAATCCTGCTGGCCTTCTCAGCAGCAAGTGATCTTGTCAATGAAGAATCCTCTCTTTTTTTGAGTGGATTAAGAATCTTTGAATTCAACCATATATACCATAGATTTGCTAGTAATTTTGAATTTTAAGATTTATGGACAATGGATTATTGATTTAGTAGTTTTAGTAATAGTTTTAATTTTTTTTATTATCGAGTTATTGATATATAATGGTTTGAAGTTTTTCTTAACATATTTATCGATATATATATTTATATCATTTTGTTTATAAAGTACTTGACTTAAAGCTTAGTTTCATACTTTAATTTTTGTTTGTCTCAAACTTTCAGTTATTCTAGAATGCATCAGTGTTTGTTTTTTCTGTTTTGGTCAAGATGCAATCTGTTAACTCATATACATGGTTCATTTGGTTTGTCACCTTGTTTTTAAGTATCTTTTAATGATAATTTCTCAAATATTAGCAGTTAAATCAATAACTGAATCGATATTTTAATGGTTCTATAACAATTTTAAAATGTTAACAAATCGATAACTCATAAATCAAACTGATAAACTTTGAAATTGAACCAAACTGATTAATATGCAATAATAATTATAGCGATTAGAAAGATTCAGAATTTAAATTTAATAGGTTAAAAGGGCGGGGGATTAGATTTATACCTTCCTTGGGTAGGGTGATTTTGGTGTGGTGAGGGAATAAAGGCATTAATTGGCATCCTTCTAGATTGAGCTTAGCGCGGTAAACACGGTTAGACTTTATCACTACAAATTCAAGAATCAAATACCTAAAAAACATTAAAATGAAGTCAATATATACAATATACACTTTCTCACAATTAGTTGTGTAATTCTCATAATAATAATAATAATAATAACAACAACAACTTGATTTTAATTAATTTTTCTCGTATGTATTAGTCTATGAATCTGACGTCATTTTAGACATTCAATTTTTTTTATTAAAAAACTATATTAGGACCAGAAGCATTACGTATGGCTCCGTCTGTTTTAAAAGTCCGCTATAAATTTCTACAAGTCCATTTAAGTTTGGAAAACTTACATAAATATACTATGATAAAAAAAATATTTATCATTTATAACAATAACATTTTTTTTCACTTGATCACTTTTAATTCATTTACAGTACAAGCTTAATACATATTACAAAGAACAATTTATTATTCAAATGTAATACAAGTTTTAATAATGGATAATGCATTTATCGTACATTTTAATACACTTATAATACAATGTGTTAAATTTTTTCGGGATAATGCCCAAGTACCCCCTCAACCTATGCCCGAAATCTCAGAGACACACTTATACTATACTAAGGTCCTATTACCTCCCTAAACTTATTTTATTAATAATTTTTTACTCCTTTTTTACCTACGTGGCACTATCTTGTGGGCCCAACGATGGTTGATTTTTTTTCAAACTAGTGCCACGTAGGCTAAAAAGGGGTAGAAAATTACTTATAAAATAAGTTAAGAGGGGGTAATAGGACCTTAGAATAGTATAAGTGTGTCTCTGAGATTTCGGGCATAGGTTGAGGGGGTACTTGTGCATTATCCCAATTTTTTCAAACAAACATAATAATTTTCAAAAAACAATTATAATACATATGTATTGCATACATAATTCACCTTTAATACATATTACAGGTTTAACATAATATTGTTTTAAATAGTAATAAATAAAAATTATCACTAAAATCAGTAATTATTTATTAAAATGTATCAATTCATCTAATTTTTCCTTTGAGTTTTATGAGTTAAAAGATTTTATATGTACCAGTATATATTTTTTCCATAAATTTAAATTGGTCATTCACATGTTTTCTCCAGTTACAAGTTCCATAATCGCAAAATATACATAATAAATTAAAAATAAATAACGTATTGAAAACATTTTTGAATTTGACAATATTATTCGCTATTTATTGTTCCAAAACATTTCATTATATTTATGTCTACTAGTTAGTACGTATTGGTACTAACGAACGTATACAATCCTCTCTTTTTATGCAAACCTTATCTCAAACTTTTAAAATCACTACCTCCCAAACCAATTAAAAAGGACTTTCATGACTAAAGACACTTTCTATGTACTTATATATATAGTCACTTAGCTAATTTCAAACATCGATTCATAACAATTAATTAATATTCGAGCCTTGAGAATGAAGCAAGTATCAATGGAGATGAAGAAAGGACCCTGGAGTTCTGATGAAGACTCTAAACTCATCCATTCCATCTCCATATTTGGACAAGGACGTTGGGATTCACTTGCTCACGTTGCCGGTATATATATATCATGTTGTTAGAGAGATCACAAGTATACAATATATAACATTTTTTATTTCTATTACCAAAAAATAATTACGTATATATTGATATATATAGGGTTGAAGCGTAGCGGTAAGAGTTGTAGACTAAGATGGTTGAATTATTTGCGGCCAAATTTAAGACGAGGAAAAATAACTCCTCAAGAGCAGCTCCTTATTCTACTCCTTCATTTTCGCTTCGGAAATAGGTAAGTAAAATATGTATAAAATATGTCATATAAATTGAATAAATGAAATAATTATATTTTATAAAGGTTGAAAACATATATAGATAGAAATTATTGTTATTATTATATTTTTTAATAAATAAAAAAAAATAGTGATATGGTCAATGATTTTTAAGATATGGTAATAATTATTTCATTTTTTTTTCAAAATAAAAAATAGATGGTCAAAAATAGCTGAGAATTTGCCTGGGAGAAGTGATAACGATGTTAAAAATTACTGGAGAACTAAAGTGCAAAAGCATGCAAAACAGCTTCATTGCGAAATCAATAGTCAACAATTTCGACACTTCCTTCTCTATGAATGGATGCCTTCTCTGTTGGCTCAACAAATACCGACTTCTTCTTCTTCTTCTTCTTCATCTTCTTCGGAATTAATCGTGATGGAGAATTGTTTTCCTAACGATATTAATACATATCCAAACACTAATATTATTTCATCAACAGATTCATTCGTAAAGGAAGATGATAGTAATATTTGGAAAAAGTTATCTAGTTTTGAAGATGGAATTAATATTTCTCATGATTTTTCAACCCCTTCAGATATGACACTTCATAATTATTCATCTCATCATGTGGATGATCAGTACTACTTTCACAATTATTGGACAAGTGCAGAAATGCCAAGTTTGTATGAAATGGACCTTTGGCTCTGATTACGAGTATACGTGAATCCAATAATGTCTTTATTCAATATATATACATACATACATACATATATATATATATATATATATATATATAATTTACAAAATTATCTTTAAATATTTAATTAGTGAACCCTAACTAGTTAATTAGTTATTATTGTATTGTAATATTTACTTGAAATAATTAGCAAAACTCATTGTATAAATTTTAGCTTTGAATTTTCTCTCACCTCTATTATAATGTATATATATGCATGCGCACCCATCGCGTCAACATTTTTCCATGCATGTACGTATTATATAATTGACACGAACCTTTGTTTCACCGCCTCACTTTTAATTTAAGATGATTTTATGATTTAAAAATCTATTTTTATTCCAAATTAAGTTAAGTGTCGAATTAAACTAAAAACATTTGAATTAGGATGGAGGAATTATAAAATAGCAACTTCCCTCACTACAAGCTCGATATAAGAAACTACTTCGGTCGTTCCTTTTTAGTAGTCATTATAAGGTTTAACACAATGTTGAGAAAAAAAATTAATAAAAAGTGTTGTTTGATGAATATATTTCTTATTAGTTCTTTGGTCTTTATCTATATATCATATATTATTATAAGTGAAAAAATTTAAAACTCAAAGTTGAATTATCATTTTATCTTAATATTAAAATAATTAGAACAAATGTTATAAAATATAATTAAATATTTAATAAATAACTCATTTAAATTAATGCATGAATCAAATACACATGAATAATTAATCTCTCTTTTGTTATAAAAATCAAGAGTATTTGAAGAGCTTTTTCTTTAAATAAATTTGATATGGACTAAAATCATCGAACTTATTTATTGCCAATTAACTGTACCTACTAAAAAGTCATCCTAGCTACTGCAATAAAATACCTAGAGGATGATGAGAGATTCTAAAGCAAAAAATTAATCGTGCTCATCATTTTGTATTGCAGTAATTTCCTTTTGTTTTTATCCACTCCTCCTTGTCAAGCTTAAGTTTGGGTTACATTCCTTTTTAATATTTTGATCGATATACTTTCTTATTATTTTGTTTTTCTATTGGAATATCTTGTGTCCTATATGGAAATTAGTGATATACAATTCATGTTCTACTATATTTCTTAATTATTGATGAAATTCATTAATTAGTTAATTTGATATGTGATTATCAATAGAGTGCTTTACTTTAGTTTAAATATATTTTCGAGATTATTATTTATTAGTAGTGAGGGGAATAACTAAATGAGAAAAATCCATATGATTTTTTTAAATGTATTTTTATATGACTTTTTGTTTATATTGTATAATCTATTGATCTTATTAGTCTATTATTTATTTGTGGAAACATTCATTCTTCAAATTGACCATATACCTCGAATAAGTCATTTTGAAAAGTTTGTGTTGCTCCATTTATATTAAGTATTCAAATAGAAATTTTATGATAAAAGAGTATTGTTCTTTTCTCTTCATAAATCACATGTACATATTTCTCAAGGTTAAAAAGAATATGTATATTAGATATAAAAAAATAATTAACATAATAATTATGATGATGGCTGCAAGTGTGTTTCGTATATATCAAGTGTTTATATTATTTGCATATGTACCAAATTGATGATGTCTTTTAGAACTTATAAGTTGCATGCGTCAAACTTCTATTTAATGTGATGAGAAACTATTTATTGTTGATGTAAAATATTAATTATGGATGAAAAATTGTGAACTCAGGTTTCCAAATTATTGGCTGGACACATAAACAGTTAAGTAGTAGTGTCCAAATTAGAATTTCTACTTTAGCCTTAGAGATATTATTTTATTTAAGAGAATGTAATATTCTTCTACCTAATAATTGAATGTTAATTATTAGTCATAGCTATAATTTTTTAAAATTGAAAGTTGAATATGAATATTCTCTCCACTATTATTTAAAAACACTTTCAGAATTTAAATTTCAATATGCTTTTTAAGAACCAATTTACAAAGATTTATGTTATATGCATAATTCAAAATGAGAAGAAAAGAGAATGAGAAACTGCAAAAATGAAGGATAACAAAAAATGCTGAAGTATTCCTAGTATATTTTTTTTTAATTTAGTGAACAAAATATAAATGATAAAAATACTATTGCTAATTTCAGCATTCCTATTTTATAACTCAATTTTTTAGTGTATAAAAATTTAATAATAAGAGACAAACGTGCAACGCACGTTCCCTAAAACTAGTATATATATATATATATATATATATATATATATATATATATATGCCTCTTAATTCTAAAATTATTAACTTTAAGGATAAAGTTGAAAAAAGATAATTAATTATCTTTTGATTGTTTAAATGACAACTATTTTTGATATATAAGACAACTAAAAGGAACAAATGAAGTATAATAGAGAATAATAACCTATAAGATAATATGAATTTCTTCATTATCATTTATATGTCGTTCTTACTAAAAGTAGATGTTCTTTAATCTTTGTCATTCACAAAAATCAATAATGACATACGATTTCTTATTTTACCCTTAGGAGTTTTTAGTTTAAAGATATGAATTTGACTAAACATATGAAAACTAAATATTTAATTTATGTTCACGTCAATTTATTTAATTAAAATAAATTAATTTATATTTATCTATTGAAAACTTGACTTCAAGATAACTAGAGTTGTTAAAATGAGCTTAACTCATGGGGCCCACCCTACCCAACTCGTTATTGGGGGTAGGGTTGAGATAGGATTTTCAAACTCATTTAAAACTAGCGCTTATAAGCCCGATTCATGTAAATTCTTGAGCATTGATGCTTGACCGGGAAAAGGTCAAGGTTAGTCCATCTATCATAACTATTTATTTAAGGATAACTTACAAAAATCTCTAGAGCGTATGCGTTAATTACTTAAAGACACATTATGTTGTAATAATGTGAATCTTATCAAATTTGGTACATCTAGATACATGTACTCAAAATTATGTTAATTTGTTCTAGATACATTCTATCTATGTGAATATTATGTATTTAGAATACATAGACAAATCTCTCGGCCCTTTTAGGGTTTAGTTGAGTTGTTCTAAATAAAAGAGCGACCTGTTCTAGCCCATTAAATTATCTGGCCCGCAAAGCTTGGGCCGAATGGACTGGGCCAACTATTTTTGACAACTCAGCTCTAAATATAACACTAAATAAGAGTTAAGTAAACTGGCCTAAGAATGAAACCTAAAATAGTGACATATAAATAGAAACCAAAAGCGATAGTCAGGTAGCTAGTACAGGAGTCAAATGACGGTGCTGCTCACCTTTGCTCTTGGCCGCCAAATTTGTATCCTCAACAACTTCATCGGAGACGGAAACCGAAGCTCTTCTATCAAATACCTCACTTGACAAACGTCGTATCACGGAATTCCCTTATCGGTGGTTACTTCAACCACAACCACATCCAACAAGCGGAATACCTATTCGATTAAATGCCTCATAGAGATGTCATTTTTTGGAACACAAATGCTCTCCGGGTAGCGCAACGCCAACAAGCATCATGCAGTATACTCAGTGCTTTCCAAAATCCACGGAGACAAAGGAGTGCACAGTGACATAACTAGTTTCAAACTTTGGTAACTTGATGAAGAAATGGCGTGCTACAAAGCAGAAGGCTGGTAGAATGTCTGTCTACTATGAGGCAAGTGGCTTTCTACATAACAGTTTCCTTAAGAAATTATTAAAAATCTATACATCTTTAAGTTTTTCCTTTTTAGTATCTTAATTTTTATGCACAATAGAACATAAATTTTTAGAAACCAAATCATATGGGATATAACATGTTAGTTCTTGTGCCAAAAAACTTCTATCAAATTTGACCATTTTTCTCTTATAAATATAACTTTAATTGTCAAGGTTTTGAAGTATATTTAAAAGATTAAATATTCTATTTATTTGTTTGAATTTGAATCATGATAGTTCATAGATACACTCGCTGCATTTGTTGTTCATTTACATTATTTGATGCTAGTTAAAAATTTATTACTATATTGATATGTAGTCATGAGTTATTTATTATCAGACATGAGGTCAACCAAAATTGCAATTTTTGGAAATATTTTTTCTTAAGGAAAAATATCTAATTTTGTAGTTTGCACATGAATTTTCTTGTCCTTTTTTATTCAGATTGAAATTTGTAAGATCATACATATTTGATAAATTTTATGAACTTTAAGGACTTTTTATATACTACTAAAAATGATGTTGTCATGAAAAATGTTATAAAATCCTACAAACTGTATTCATATATTGAGATTACTTAACTTGTTGCAAATAGTATTTTACTTTAAGACATTATTGTACGCATAAATTTAATGCACATTAGGATCTTAGACTATAATTTACTCATAGGCATTATAGAAACATGTCTGAATACATTATCGTGGAAATTGATTTTTACAGTAATGTCTTTAGGTATGTTTCTGTAATGCCTCTCAGTAAATTATTTTGTCTAAGATCCTGACATGCATTAGGTTTTTGCTTACACTATATAATATCTTAAGGCAAAATATTATTTGTAACAAGTTAATAATATTTTCATATAAATTAAAGACTTAATATACGAATATACTTTGTAGGATCATTGTTAACTTTTTCATGAAAACACAATTTCTAGTAGCATAAAATTTCTTTTAAAGTTCTTAAAATTTATTAAATATTCTAGGTCTTACGAATTTCTTTTTGAATAAAAAGGACAAGATAATTAATGTGTAGACTAGAAAGTGGATATTCTTCCTTGTATATAGGAGTAGTAATAAGAGGAAAATTATTTCCAAAAATTAGTAATCACGATTCACACATGATAATAAATCACTTGTGATTATATAATTTTTTTAATGAGTATCAAACAATGTGATTTAGCAACTAATGAACTGAATGTGTCTAAATAGAATATCTAACCTTTTAAAAAGATTAGATATTCTATTTATTTGTTTGAATTTGAATCATGATAGTTCATAGATACACTCAATTCATTAGTTGTTAATTTACATTATTTGATGTTCATTAAAAATTATTACTTTATTGATATGTAGTCGAGAGTTATTTATTATTAGACATGAGGTCGACTAGAATTGCAATTTTTGGAAATATTTTTTCTTTTATTACTACTATATATAAGGAAAAATATCTAATTTTGT